CCCTGTAGATACCTAAACAGTTTTTAATCACAGCATTAGATATGAAGAAACATGATAATTCCAGAAACTGAAATTTTTACAGTTGCCCTTGAAAAGCTTTTCAAAACAGCCACTGAGAAGAGTCTGGCTCTCTCTTTTTGACACCACCAGCCCCCACACCCCAAATCATGTATTTATTCTAAACACACTGGTAAGATCCCCCTGAGCATTCTCTTGTACAGCTCAGCTTTCTCAGCCTTTCCATAAATTACAGAGGCTCCAGTTACCATCATGGCCCTTTGCTGAATTCACTCCAGTATGTTCACATCTCCCTTGTACTTGGATAGCCCAGAGCTGGACACAGTACTCCAGGCGTGGCCTCCCCAGTGCTGAATAGAGGGGAAGGATCACCTCCCTCGGCCTTCTGGCAACACTCCTCCTAATGCAGCCCAGGAAGCTGTTGGCACCACAGTCATGTGGTCCATCAAGCACCGCTTCCTTCCAGTTTTGTTTTTGTCTGCAAGTTTGTTGAGGGTGCACTCTGTCCCATCATCCAGGTCATTAGTGAAGATAGCAGCGTTTAGCCCCAGTATTGACCCATAGGGTACACCCATAGCAACCAACCTCCAGCTGGACTTTGTAACACTCATCATATTTCTCTGAGCCCAGCAGTTCTGCCAGTTTTAAATCCACCTCATTGTCCACTTATCTAACCCATACACCATCAGTTTGTCTATGAGGATGTTATGGGACACAGTGATGAAAGCCTTACTAAAGTCAAGATAAATATCCACTGTTCCAGTCATCTCACTGTAGAAGGCTGTTATCCACTGTAAATCCATGCTGACTACCCCCAATCACCTTCTTGTCCTTCACATGGTTAGAAATGGTTTCCAGGGTTATTGGCTCTATCACCTTCCCCAGGGGTCAAGGTGAAGTTGACTGGTCTGTAGTTCCCCAGGTCGCCTCCTTGTCCTAAGAGTGACACTGGCTTTCTTTCAGTATCTTAGCCAGTCACCATGACTTTTCAAAGATAACTGAGTGACCTTGCAAAGACAGTGGCCAGCTCCCCCAGCACGTGCAGGTCCTTCAGGTCCCTTTATAGACAGTTAAGATCAGTGAAAAAGGAGGATGCAAATACTCAAACCAAATTTTACCTGTGACATTAACTCTATCACCAGGCTGAACTTTATCAACAAGGTCATTGTGAGCAAACAGCGCAACTGTATGCGGGGTCTGTCCAGCTGGCATGTCTTCAGGAGACTCCTGCAGTTTGATCTAGCAAAAAACACTCAAGTTTTAGTTTCAGAAAAGCAAAGTTTTTCCACAGAGTGCACAACAGATTCTTGTTATTAGCAGTCTTCAGCATCCTCTTGAATCAGGAACACTGGTCAAGAACAAAATACCCCCACCCAAACAGCAAAACCGATTGCTAATAAAAAGATACGATGAAAATGAGCATTCTGCTGGTTGCTACTGGTATGGCTAAAATGCTGTTACAGACGAGGCTCATCTAGTCCAGATGGAAACAGACATACTATATATGAAGAGGCTTCCACATGGACACATTAAGATGTGTACGTACTTAATTTCATCTGTATAATACATTACTTCTTCAAACTAGACTTACAATTTTGCTAAGCTGTTTCACCCATTTTCACATTCCAAAACACGTTTCCCTTTTCAAAACATTCGCCTTCAAAATACGTACATTAATGATATTGATGATATTAGGGGGGTGGGGGAGCAAAAAACTAGAAACCGTTTCATTTTAGCCACTACCTAAGGGCAACATACCATCTGCTTGTCAGAGAACATGGATCGATTGTGAATCAGTGCCATACTGTGCGTTGTGTTACAGTTCTTGCATACTGATGGTTCAGCAATCCTGCCACGATCGATTTCTACTCTGGTGGTGAAAGCGCAAACCTGGCATTTAAAGAATGCTTCTTGCATCTCAGGAATTAACTGGGAGCTTCTGATGACCATACCACTGATGGTGATAAGTTGATCAATATCTACAAAATATAGAGACTCGTGTCATCACTTCATACTCTTAAAATTTAAAATAACCTTCAAATTTCATGTTACATTAGTTTTTAGGTGAGAGGTAGACATTGGGTTAGGCACTAACATTTTGTCTACGACAAAGCAAAAGGAATCATAAATGCATAGTACAAATATTCCAATCTACAGAAGTATTTATATAAAAGAAAGAATGCTTTGCACTTGCAAAACTAAGAATGTGAATAGCTGATGCCAGGAAAGATTTCCTTTATGAACAGGTTATTCTGCATTTAGGGTCTAAAGCATTTGCTTCTGACAAAAACTTACATAAATGAAAGACACTGGTCTGGATGGACCTCAAGTACAGTTTTATCCAGTCTCTTTTGTAATTGTACATTAACATTCAGTAAGTTTATATAAATCCTTAAGATTCTTTTCTAATATGGTAATCAAAAGTTTACCTTCAGGGTTTAGACTTCTCATATTCCTGGTCTTTAGTGCATTATATGGCCTTACTTGAATTTGATGTTCTAATATTGAATCAGGGTAACGATCAAAAAATATCTCATTGGCAGCCATGTCAAATGTTGGGATAACTTCCTGTATAAAATTGTTAGGTAAAATCGTTAGAAACAGTTAAGCTTAAAAGTTTAAAAATAAAAATCATAGAAAGAAATAATTTTGTATAAAGCATTTTATGGTGCTGATCAGCCAGAAATGACTAAAAGTTACACCAACTGAGCATTTTGCTACATAACAGAAAACTTGCCATTTAGATCAGATTTATTCATTTGAGTATTGCAAAGGAAAAAAAAAAATAAAGTACAAGACTCCAGACATTGCAGTTTATCAGCTAATTTTGTATGTACAAGGTACCCACTGTCATATCTACAAGCAACTACTATGAAAGAAGACATTTTATATTAAGTAAAATAAAGAAGCCAAAGATAACATCGAACATACAAAGTACACGTTGCTTTTAAACAAACATACTAAAAGCCAGAAATATGAAAGGGCCACTTGAAAGCCAGAAAACAAGCACACTACTTCACCTGAGGATAGCAGATCAGTTGCCTGTAAAGATTTTCATCAAATGATCTTAGATGGTCACAATTTACATTCAGGAATGGTTCCCCAACCATGTTAATCTGCAACATATTCGCAAAGGAATCTTTAGATCAATGGCACACCAGACTGAAAGAAAAGTTGGCTTTCGCTGTGTTACAAGTACCTCTTCAAGCCGTTGCATATAGCGTGGCTCGTTAAGATCTAAGCCGATGTCTTCATCCTCTTTAGCTAGCGGATCAATGAAGCGCTGAAGAAATCTCTGAATGACAGAGGTAACAGGGAGACAGAAGGGAGAAGATAAGCACAATTTAGTAGTACAAAGACCTACTTTGTATCGGATTCAACTAATATGTGTTTAAATCAAACGAGCTTTTCATTTTAAAAAAGGAAAGAAGAAGTTGTTAACCTACTTGGAATTTTTCTTTGCATGAGGCCACGTTAACATCTGTTCCCCAAATAACAAGCTTTTGTCCAAGAGATTGCTCGGTTGCTACTATATCCTCAGCCGGCTGCGTGGAAACAAATAAGGCATACACAAATATACCTACAGTTGTCTAAAAAGAAGTTGTCAGATACAAGATTTAAGACATCCACCTACCCCATCAGAGTGTAAATCGACTTGTCTGGCTTTACGGACAGACCCGAGATCCGGCCTCTGCCTAACCGGAGTTCCTCGTACCCCACTTCGTGGAGTACCCTCTACCCTGGAGCTGGGTGTGCCGTAAGTCAGAGGTGAACTGATATCGAAGTCAAGAGGAATAGCTATAAAACAAGAAAATATGTTTTATTATGATTATCAAGACATTTTACATTTAGAACAGACTGAAGTTCAGCCTCTGCATTTGTCTCACCATTCTTTTAACTATCAGAAAATGAGCAGCACCAATCAATTCCAGTGTTTTGTTAAAACAATAAAAACGTTGCAAGTCTAGCTAATAATTTTCTTTGTGTTAACACCTCTTCTGAAAGATCCAAAGCTCTACTAAAGATTTGCTAAAAAAATTTAAAGCAGTACCGCATTTAAAAGCTACATTGGTGTTCAAGCATAAAAAGTCAAAATGTAGCATCTTAGACGAAACACATTTTACAGTATTGTTGGGGCAGTACAAGAAGTGACACAAGAATTACCAGCTACTGCAATTAAAACCAATCCTATATGTAAAAGCAAGAAAAGCTTTGTATGGCAATCATACGAATTCTTTCACACACACCCCCACACCCCCATAGCCATGGCCACGGCCTGCCCCGGGCCACCGCGGAGCTGCCCGACCCCCGTTACCGGAGTGGCGGAACTGCGGGGGGCTGGAGAAAAGAGCGTC